CCTTGCCCGTTGGTTTCTGCACTGATGCGACTCTCATCGGTGCTGCCCTCTTCAACGCTAACGCTCTCTCTGCTAAACGGCTAGAGACCTGCGGCGAGTGGTTAGCCAGTCGGTGGGCGTGTGCGTCGATGGCGCTACGGGAAGGTCTTGCTATGTCGCAGGGGACATATCATTCTCTGCGAAGTGCGTGTCGGTCCTCTCCCTTGGGGGTCCGCCTTCTTTCCACTAGGTAAGTTTCCCCTTCTTAGACTTTTTCATGGAATCCCCCTTCAAGTCTTTAGTGTAGCCCCGTCAATGGCAAAGTATTTTCTTTGATAACTTTCAATTTGAGTGTAGTTGGTAATTCCAGCGACGAATTATGACGCACTGTAAGCACGAGCGCGCTCGCTAAATGATTGCTTCGTAACTACTAGAAACAAACACCTGTTTTCCGTTTGATGTGCTTTTAAATAGCCTACAACCGGCTTTTTAGCGCTTTTGTTGCGCTAAAACGCAACTTCAAATACTGAGAGGGGGATTACTCTAGCATTGATAGATCCATGCAGTGTGTAGCAAAGCTACCCTACTCATTTACTATGTGCGCAGTGGCCGCTTGTGAATTTAGCGCATTTTGACAGCTTCACCCTGCATTCTTCGTTGCAGAAATTGCTTTGTATTTAACTACCTACTATATGCTTGTAATCGTACTAATTACTACATTATTATTAGGAAATTATCCGTGCTGGTGCACCATACGGTGTGGTGAACTTCGGTCAGGCAACAATGAACATGATGCGCTTGGAGCATGGTTACAAGATTTGGGGCCGAGAACTCACTCTTGATACGAATCCCTTCGAATGTGGATTGGGAGGTGAATATATTCTCATTCGAGTGTAAACAAACGATGCGCTGATAGTAACAGACAGTTATGAAAGTGGCAATTTAGCTCTGGTTGACTTCTCTAAAGAAGACTTCATTGGAAAAGCAGCTGCTCTGGAGTTGAGTAAGCAGAAATTCGATCGTAGACTGGCGTTGCTCACATTTGATCCTGCCGACAATGCTCAAGTGCCTCTTGAATGGAAGAGTCTTCCATTCGGAATGGAAGTAGTTCGTCGAGAAGGTCATGAAGAGGTACGATCATTCTTTACATGCGGCTCCGCAAAAGTAGCATGTGTTTGTTACCCGAAACTTTAGTTAACGACGAATAGTTTTGAATTGTTTACAGCGCATTGGTCAAATTACCTCTGGTTCATACAGTGTTCGTCTCCGACGTCCAATAGCTTTCGCATGGATTGATAGCGACATTCAACCGAATGAGAGGGTAAGGCAATTTTATGTGTTATTTTTGAAAATTTGTCCTAAGTGTGAAGCTGTGTTGTTCTTATCTCTAAAAATGGGATCATTATGTTATTAATCTTGACACGAACTAGCCCTTGACCGATATATTCACGATAATATGCCACCCTTATTCGTACGAAGTGGTGTAGTGGCAGATGGTCTGCTTACCACGCTCATCTTTCGTGGCTCAAGTCCTGTATCGTTCGCCGCCCATGCCACTCGAGCGTTCCATCTCTGTGGTTGGCAGTTGGTACCGGATTTGTCTGGGAGGATGAGAACACTCCGCAACAGCACGCTGACCCCAGCAAGTCATAGTATAGGCCAATTCGCATTCGGAATGCCATTGCGACTCTGAATGGAGTGGAATGCATGGCGTATTTCGAAAAGGGATCGATTGATGCCGGAAGCTTTCTTTGTCCTAACGGTAGCAGAACTTGACTTTATTAGCATGCTGTTGCTGAAATCGCTTTGCACTGCCGTTTTTCCAAACGGAATCAGCCTTAGAGGGTATGTTTTTCCGGAACTCATCAAGTTGGGAGAAGATCATCTATGTTACTACCATAAAAGTGGCAGTAATTTCCGTCCGGATGTGAGCTTGATATTCAAAGCACCTGACAATTAACAATGCCCAGCTGCAATAAGACCGTGTATAGTGGCTCAGCAATAGCCAAATCAATTCTCCTCCATTTTTACAGTCTCCAAAGGGAATAACATTCATATAAATGCACACGGAGTGCGTGGATCTCTTAGAGAGTGTGAGATTTTACGCGCCTTTAAGATCGTTGTGCGGCGCAATACTAAGCGATGTTGAGGATATGCGCAGCGTTACGTGAGCTTCCGACCAAGTATAAATGCTGCGTAAACTGGCGACGGATCTATGAGCTCGGATGTCACTGGCCTAAACGTCTTCCCGTCCAAACTTCGTGCTTAGTTTGGATGTTGCAAGCCCAATACACTACATGTACAGAAATTCCCGCTGCGCAAATGTCTGCATGCGGTCGCGGGAGCGCTGTGCAGCCGTGTGTGCGGGCGCAGGGTAAGCATGTAGCGAACGGAAAATTGAAAAAAAAAACCAAAAAAAACGAGATTTGACATCAGGTGTCTTCAAAAGACTCCACATCAACGGTCTTATCTCGCTATCGCGAAACTATGGCTGCGGCCTATACTTACGCTAGCCAAACACGTTGACGACATCGCGCGTTTTGGGCTTTTGCACCGCGTGGGACAATGGCGCTTCTGCGAGCGCGGCCGTCATCCTCCACAGGTCGGCCGCTGATTGTGCGTGCTGCGGTCGTTCGTGGATCACTGCCCGCAAATTTCGAACGATAAGCTTGGAAAGCTTCAAATGTACGAAACCATTTCAGCAATATTTAATGCGTAGAAAGTAATCGAAGATATAGTAGCGAAATTCCGATCAAAAAACGTGAAATGGTAAAGAAAATTGGAATTCAAGTCCTTTTCTCTGTAGTGGATGCCAAAACTATTTTCGATGTGGATGTGTCAAGTGAAACATATATCTTTCTATCCCTTTAAGTTTGTATTTACTTTCACTACCTTTTCTCACTGACATGTTCATCAGAATAGGAAGAAAACGAGGGATGAACCGAGCTGCCAATTCCGCGCTGTGCTTGAAAAAAACTTCTGCTAAAGCTGGGCATTTGTCTGCATTACCATGACCCATGTATGATTATGAGTTATATTTAATCATGGGGCGGAAGTGGTGTAGTGACAAGTGGCGCGCTTACCACGCGAGCGGTCCGGGGATCAAATCCTGGTCGTCGCCCGGGCCAACCAAGCCTTCCATCCCTCCGGGGTCGGTTAATTGGTACCAGACTTGTCTGGGAGGATAAAAACACTGACTTGTACATCGGCTGGCCCCCGCAAGTCATTGTATAGGCCACATCGCATTCAAACGCCACTACGAATGTACAAATGGAAGTAGAATGCGTGCCGCATCCCAAAAAGGGATTGATCAACGGCAAATGCTTTATCCTTTATCCTTTATCCTTAATCCATAGAATGAGAAAAAAAATTGGAAAATCCCGCATATGCCGCTAGAAAAAGGGATGAACAAGGGTGAGACGCGCAACGCGTCTCAATGTCCAACGAGGTGCGCAAAGTGAGACGCGTTACCGCGTCTCAATGTCGTCATTGTGTTATTATCTTGTAGACCCTTTCTTTGGGTACGATTATATCCATTTTTGACTTCTTGATCTTCTTCTTAAGATCCAAAAGCAACTTCAGGTGTAACAAAGTGAATAATTCAATTATGTACTGGACCAATTTTTATTGATACGGCATTTTTGCTGAAGTTTTATGTAGGTGTAGTTTCAAATTCATTCCTCTTGTTTTAGTTATCAGTGGATATTGGATCGGAACACAGGTTGATTGCAACAATCCTCGAGAATATTCCTCACGATCCTATTCAGTAAACTTCACCATTAGTGTTGCTCTAGAGGAGATTAATGTGGAGCGATTTATTTGCCAATGAATAATTGCGGACTGGTAATCTTATTTAGGTGATTGTGTTCTGTAATGTATTTTTTAAGTTAGCGCGAAACTTTCACTATGCTTTGTTGTATGAGAAATGTTGCGTGGCAATCATTTGCAGTGTGATTATTATTAAGGTTGATGTTTTGGTTGCTTAGAAAAAAGCTAATAGCTCATGGCCTTTTTGCTGCACTGTATTATTGTTGAGAACGCTCATACCTGTATAGAATTCTTTATACGATTAATGAATCCTTTCAGCTCTCTGTGTGTTTTTTGCCGTTCGAGGATTAACTTCCTTATTATGTTCGAATGCCTCTAGAGATGATGCAGCGTCTTCTTTATGTTTACATCGTAACCTTTGCCTTATAGATATGATGGCGCATGGCGCCCACAATGGTGCCGAAAATGTGGGGAATGAGCTTATTGATTACTTTCAACGTAGTAGAGCCCAGAGCGTACAACATCGGATCTTTCCGAGGCAGAAAAATACAGACGAATTGAGGAGCAAGGGCTCGAGACGGGTATTGAGGTAAGTGCTTAAATGGAAGCGCACTCAAGTAATTTAATCTCGAGTGGATTGGACTGAGAGTGATTGACTTTTTGCTATATTTTCTTGTGGAAATTGACTTGATCTTTTTTTTTCAGTTTCGAAGGTGTTCCAACAGTTTTTTTTTGTTCATTTAGTTTGTGTTAGTTGTGTGTTATTCTTTTGATTTTATCTCAACGATTGTGAAAGGACAGGCACCTCCTCGCCACTTTTCCTACACCCACACGTCTGTACTCTCTCATCGGTTCGTTGACTCTCGCTACTTTCCCTCGAGAATTGAGAGAAAAAGCGAGTGCGGGAAAATATGCGAGAGAGTACTTTTGTAGGAAAGTGGGGAAGCAGCGAGAATAACGCTGTGTCAGAGTCCGCGATCCGTCGCAGGATTTCGCGCGATTCGCGCGACGGGTCACAGAAATCACAAGTGCCCGATCAATACTGCAAGGTGTTCTCCAATCCCGCCGCCATTTCTGCTTGATGGTGATGGCTGAATGACGACTGTTCATGATTCACTTGTTTCATATTCAGTGTTTCAAATGTTACAATGCGATTTTTGCGATTCGCGCGAAACTTGCGACGGGTCGCGGACTCTGACGTCAGCTTAACCTGTTGGGATTACACATCGTGGGTTATGATGTTTTGAATCCCCGGAACGATTTTGTCTTTTTTTTCGGAATCGGGAGCCAATCTATGGGTTAATTTAATGAGAGCAGGCAGTCGCCGCGACGGCGCGCGAGAAGTACGTGGGCTAGAAGAGTTGTAGGCAGTTCAGATAGTAGGCGGTTCTTTTGATATGTGTGGAAAGCTGATCTGTGCAAGCTCACCCTATTTCGCTGAGAGGATGCGAACATGCCGCGCGCAGCGGCGGCGATTGCCCCTTCCCATTTATGTAAGTACCTGTTGTACTATTAAACACATTTGGATGGCTTGATAAATCTGTAATGCAAGGCTCCAAAATTTTGGCTTGATTTTTAAGATCGATTTCGTGAACAACATTACGTACGCCCCAAAAAATATGTCGAAGCGAGCTGTCTGCGCCAAAAAATCAGAAACTATGAAAGGAGGAATTCGGTGAAGCCTACATTAATCTTTTGGCAGTTCTAGTATTTCGTTGTCTAAATTTTTTGACACTTACAGTCAAGAAAGCGTACTACTTCAAAGATTACTTTGAAGATGAATGACTTCTTTTTTGCTGAACTGTTTATCTTTTTGCGCGTCTGAATACTTTACACTCACCGTTCGACTCGAAATTATGTAGCTGAGAGCTTGTTTGATTTAGGCTTGCGAAAATCTCTGCTCCGTGTAATAGCCTCGAAGTATTCGGTAAGGGCTTACGCGAAGCGAGCGAAGGAATGTAGACAGCTAGACAGTGTATGTTATTTATGTGCAAATTATTATTGTCGTCCTACTTATGTAGTCTGTCTATTTAAGGATTTCAATGCCACATTCAAGATGAAATTCCCTAAATGGCAACCCTATGAACCTCGCAAACGGCGCACAGTGAAGAGGACGATCAGAGAAACAGTCAAGGTATGCATAAAAGTATCACAATGGTGTTGTCAAGGTTCTGAGTGTAGATCCCGGTTCTTCTAGGAATTGGTCTTTGATAACCCTCTGGATTACCTTCACTACATCATGAAAATCAAAGGATTACCATCCTCAACATTTTTGAACGGAGAGGTGCTCATTGTTGTTCGAATGAATAGGTTGTGCTGAAGTATGTATCAACATGTTTCAGGTGTTTTACCTCTTCCCATGGTTGCTGGGACTGTTTCAAAATCACGAGAGTCTTCACCAGTTCGTAATTCATTGACGGCGCTGAACGCTCCTGCGTTACCGAGCCTGATGGTGGCAAGTAGTGAGGACTGTTCACGATCACGCGAGTGCTCACCCAGTACGCAAATCAGTGGCTCCTGGGAATGCTTGCACCTTACCGAACCTAATGATATCGAATAAGGACTGTTCAAGATCAAGAGAGTGGCTCTCGCTGATCCGGCAGTTTCGATGTTGTCACCGAGTTCAAGATCAAGAGAGTGCTCTCCTAATCGCAGTTTCGATGCCGTCACCGAGTTCAATCACATTGGAAAAATTCCGCCATGCAATAGTGACCATGCTCCAAATGTGAACACTTGCCATCGTGTGGATTCAAACACTGATCCTGTTGTAGCCGAGAAAACGTCCATGGTAGCCATGCCCATTCGGAAAGAAGCTGCACTATCGTCGAAGGCACCGTCCATCAGTTCTGATCTGAGCTGTGCTTCACATTCTTTGGTCACTGTGAGCAACAAACTTACCAAAAAGAAGGAGACAACACCGAAAATCTGTAAAGCTCCAGCTTCTTCTCCAAAGACTACTTTACCGCTAATGCCGTCGGCCTCCACACAGGTTGATCATGCAAGTAGCACTCCTCGTGCACCTGCAACTACTGGGCGTCGTCAAAGGAAGCGTTCGGCGCCAAATACAGAGCCTAAGACATCAAAGCTGGGATCTGATCCTGAGGTCACTCCTACTACATCAAAAACGGTTCTCAGAAGTGCATCTCGACGTGGAAACAAGCAAACAACTGCAAAAAGAAAGAATGTTGTAACACCTGCTAGTCGAGGTAATAACACGGAAAAAGTGAGTGGTCGACAACCTGCAATGGCATCGGCTAGAAGCACATAGTCGAACTCCTGCTACACCTGCAGCTGTTGGGCGTCGTCAGCGGAAGCCTTCGTCGCAAAAAACAGAACCTAAAAGGTCAAAGCTGAGAGCTCAACTCGAAGTAACTCCTGCATTATCGAAGACGGTTCCTAGAGCTGCATCTCGATGTGGAAACAGCACTGCAAAAAGGAAAAAGGGGATGTCGACACCGGTTATTCGTTCAGATGCGGTATGTAACACACCCACGATTGATGGAGAAGCCTCTAGTCGACTGAAACTGGATTCGGCCACAAGATGCGTCACCATTATCCCCAACAGGAATGAGTGGTCGCACCCGCTCGTGCTCTGCTGCAGCCTCTCGTTCTCGGTCGACTGGGAAGAAAGCTAAGAAACTCCGAGGAAGGATAAT